CAGTTAACCAAACTTTCTGCCTTTTTACACTTAATTTGGACCCAATACGTCTTCTTATATTGTTGAATTTAAGATCCACTACTTTTAGATCACACATATTAACACCTTATGAAATTATCACTGAAAAAGTCTTAGTCTTCCCTTATGGGTTGTTGTAGTAGACTCTACTTTAATATACTTTCTAAAAATACTGTTAAGCTTTGATCCATTTTCAAAAATTCATGATTCTTTAGTCAAGAAGGTCTTTGACAAAAGCAAACCTGTTGAGGCTCAGCCTCACAAGTACAAGCAAGAGACTACAAGTGCTGGAAGAGACAGCAACTAAAAGACTTCTGAACCTCAGTGGAAAGGGCCTTATTTATTTCTTTTAACTAATCTCTGTGCCACTAAATTACCAGGAGTTAAGACTTGGATTCACCTCTCCCAATTAAAGAAGACTGTAGTAACTCCTGAGTGGACTGTCCAGACCACTGACTGGCTTAAACTTCAGTTTCCTAGCCTAACAGTCAGAAACGAACAGCTGTGTAAGAGGTAAATCTTGCTGCAAGATCACAGTACAAGATAATATGGGTAGAGACAAAATTCTTGGACTTTGTATACTGCTTTTCATTATATTTTCTATCTTATTCTTATTGCATGACCTTAAAATTTATAGACTTATAACTGTTCTTTGGCAGAAAAAAGTATGATTTATTGTTTTATGTTTAACATTAATTACTTTAAAAATTGCTTTACTTTGCCAATTGGGCCCTATTGAGTGATAAAGTCTTCTGTGTTATCCAGAAGTTTTACTATATCTGGTTCCTTTTTTTTTTTTAGACATTGCTATCATCTTTCTAGGAGCTCTGGTGGAGTAATGCCTAAGGCCATAAAACTGGTGATTCAAACCCACCAGCCACTTCTCTGAAGGAAGACTGGGCAATCTACTTCTGTAAAGATACTGCCTCAGAAACCCAAGGAAGGGTCCTGATGAATTGAGATTGACTCAATGGCAGTGAGTTCTCAACCATCTTTCTATTTGAAAACTGAAAAGCTAGCCACTGTAATCATCTCTTGTATGCAAACCACAGGAATTAATTTTGTTGTAGCTATAAGTTAGGCAAACTACTTCTGGAGTGATATTGCCTCGGAAACCCAAGGAAAGGTCGTTATGAGTCAGATCAGACTCAACGGCAGTGAATTTATAAGTTATATGCTCATTGCCATAATTTATATTTGGGGCTATTTTTCTTCATTATGAAGTACTTCTTACATCTACTCTTGTTTCTATTCATAGCTCCATTTAAAGAGTAGCATGGGAATGCTTTTTATTAAATTAGTCCTATCAGTGACTACTGCTGCCAACTCAACTGAATGCTGTATTTCTCAACCAACACCACAAATAGTTCATGAAAATTCTGCTCCACTAATTATAGCCTAGTTCCTGTAGCCTAGCTCCTGTAGCCATTGTCAATCCTCTGCCCCCTTGAAATGGGCTGAATACATCAGGTTGTGGTACCAACTTGGAACATTCCCTCTGTCTCAAGTATACTGCCTTAACCTGACCTTTACTATTGAACTGTGGTTAACTTGCTGTGTATCACCCATTGTGAATTTTATTCTCTTTACAACATTTTCTCACTTTAGATGCCTGAGTGAAGATAGCTTTTTAGTTGAATATTCTACATTCCCCAGAAATTTTGGACACTTGTCAATGAACCCCATGAGTAGTTACTCTCCCATTTGTACCAAACTAAGAAGTCTGACAGGATTTGGATAAATGTTTATTTGTAACACTTCTCATACTGAAGAATGACCCATCAGAGCTGATAACTCTCCCCCTTTCCCAAATAGCCCTGGAAATAACATGAGTTGCACTTATGTTATGGACCTTATGGGTATGTATTTTTATATGTAGGTTACCATCCCTTAAGGTGGGCTCTACACTGTGTAGACAGCTGGAGAATGATTGATAAATGTACATTAGGACATTTAGGACTTCCTAAACATTCACTGTTATGATGAAAGTCTTGTACTGGGCTATCCCTTCTCATTCTTCAGAGGACCAGAATAGGACATAATTAGTAAATATGCTTTTGGAATTAGATCCAGAATCCACACTCATGGAAGGAGCAGTAAAGAAATCAAATATCCTATTGCACTGGGCTAATCTGCTGCAAAAGACCTCTTTAAAGTGTTAAGGAGCAAAGATATCATTTTGAAGACTAAGGTGCACCTGACCCAAGCCATGATATTTTCAATTACCTCATATGCATGTTCAAACCCACCAGCCACTCCTTGGAAGGAAGATGGGGCAATCTACTTCTGTAGTGATACTGCCTCGGAAACCCAAGGAGGGGTCGCTATGAGTTGGGTCTGACTCGATGGCACATAACAACAACAGCAAGAACAACAACATATGCATGTGAAAGCTGGAAGATGACTAAGGAAGACCAAAGAAGAGTCGATGCCTTTGAATTGTGGTGTTGGCGAAGAATATTCCCCTAAGCATCTTTTTAAAGGCATTGTTTGAGATCTGACCTGACTCAAAGCCCCGAGATCATGGAAAATGCCAGTATCATGTGAGATTGTTGAATGCCTGGGTCAGAAATCTACTCCTGAAAACACTGTTCTGAGCTTTCTGCAGAAATCACAACCTCTAAATAGAGGTATGTCTTTTGGTCTCTGGCAGGGGGCTATCCCTTCTCATTCTTCAGAGGACCAGAAAAGGACAGTATCCATCATTAGGAACTCTGCTTTTGAAATTAGTTCTGCTCAAAGCATCTCATAGTTCTTCTCTCCAGTGCCTTCATTTGTAACTGCAGAGACGGTTAAGGTCATTTTTATCCCAGAATAATGAGTTAGTGATGGCCCCACTTTTCATTTCCCAGAGTCTCAGTCATTGGTTTTTAGGAGTCTTTGCTGAGATAATTGCTGTTATTGTTGTCTAGTTGGCTGTGACTCATGGTGATCCCATGGTCAACAGAACAGAACAGAGCACCGCCTAGGTCTGCATTATCTTCATAATCATTGCTGTGCTAAATTCCACTGTTGTGGCCGCTGTGTGTTTTTAGAGCCTTCCAACCTTGAGGGCTCATCTTCCAGCATTATGTCCAATGATATTCTGTTGTGATTCAGAAGCTATTCATTAGCTAATTTTTGGAAATAGATCACCAGACTTTTCTTCCTAGTTTGTCTTAGTCTAGAAGCTTTTCTGAAACCTGTCCATCATGGTATTTGAAATACTGGTGGTACGGCTTCTAGCATCCCAAGCCACCATAAAACATAAAGCTGACAAGAGAGGTGGTGGCTGAGGTAATAATCAACATTGATGTTGTCCCTACTTGCAAATGGACATTTATGACATATTTTGAGTGAAGTGAGACTGGGAAAGACATTGTTCCTGCCATAGTTGTGGTTAACAGGGACTGTCATAGTGCTTTTGGGAACAATTGTTAGAAATGGACAGAGGAATTCCACATGGCTTTGGGGTATCACTGATGGCTGCACATTCTGAGCAATTTCCACTATTTTTACTTTGAGTCACGTTTCCAAGTTAAATCATAAATTTCTCGCATTTACAGAACTGCTGTTTTTTAGGTGCCCTTGAGTTGGCTCTGACTCACAGTGACCTAATGTACAGCAGAACGAAACACTGTCTGGTCCTGGGCAATCTTCATAATCCCTGCAATACTTGAGCCTAACGTTGCAGTCACTGTGTCAATCCATCTTGTTGAGAGTCTTCCCCTTTTTGCTGACCCTCCATTTTACCAAGCATGATATCTTTCTGCAGGGATTGGTCTCTTCTGACAACATGACTACAGGAGGTGAGATGAAGTCTGTTCATTCCTGCTTTTAAGGAGCATTCTGGCTGCACATCTTCCAAGACCAATTTGTTCATTTTTCTGGCAGTCTGTGGTATTTTCAGTATTTGTTGCCAACATCTCTTAAGGAAGTATGTAATATTATTTCCCTTTTGCAGGTGAGAAAACAGGCAGAGAGGGAGGAAGTAACTTACATTTCTAAGGCTAATTATTGCCAGAGACAAGATGAGAAATCAGATCTTCTTCATCTTTGACTTCAAAGCATCTGACTTTTTCCCAATCTCTCAGTAACCCATTACATTTGTGGTATGGGTTCTTTCTATAATCCAGATTTGGGATTATTATTGCCCAGTTACTTGACAAAAATTTGTTATTACATCACTGGTATTCTCCTATAACAGTTGTGTTGTTTTTAAGGCCTTCTTTTCCTCTGTGTCTAAACCAGATTTTATTGTACAGATATTACATCTGCCTTAACTCTATAGATTTTATAGATTATATTTATTTTGCTCTAGCCAATTCTGCTTCTTATAATTTATCTAGACAATTGTAGACTACAGGCAAGGGTGGGGACTTAACTAAAAAAAATGTACCTTCGCATGCAAAACCTCTCTTCTTGGGACTGTGATATCTAAAATGTTTTCTACTTCTGTGCTTGGAGAACATTTATACCTCTTAAACTTGGGTAGGTAAAATCAAGAAAACAAAAAACAAAACCAAACCTACATTTTGATGAAGTGCTTCTGGGAGACTCTCCCTTATATTTTAAACCTCTTTCATGTAAATAGTTTTTCTAGTTTTAAAATAAAATTCCACTCTAGCTATAGTAGCAGGTATAAAAAAATCAAGAAAATTGCTTTTGATGTGTTTCATACCCATATTCAGGAATGCATTGTGAGTTTTTTTTCCCATAGGCCTCTTACTCCATAAAAAGTATGAAAACCGCAGATGTATTTTACTGCATACTATAAAGATAAATATAATCCAAGTTAGATTACATTGTTCTTTTTATCCTTTGTTTTAGAAAAAATTAAAACATTTCTTGGGCCCTTAAAAGTATGATGGGCCCTAGACACAGTGCCTACTGTGTCCTTGTCCACAATATGTGGACTCCTAAAGCAAATTAATCCAGATGGGATGAGTGACTCTCTCAAGTTCAGCCAAGGATCATTTTTCTAAGTATTTCAATCTCAAGATCTATTTATCTTTGGTTTTCATTATTTGATCCCAGAGCTTCTTCATAACATTTTTCACTTCTGCATTTCTCAGAGTGTAGATTAAAGGGTTCAACATAGGAGTTATGAGGGTGCAAAATACAGTCACTGCTTTGTCAGCAGGGAAGGAGGTCATGGGTCTTAGGTACAGGAAGGAACAAGGTACAAAGAATAAGATCACAACAGTGACATGAGAAGCACATGTAGATAGGGCTTTGCGGCGCCCTTCAGAGCTGTACGTTCTCAGGGAGTGCAGGATGATGATATAGGAAGCCACCAGCATAGAGAAAGTGAGCAAACATAGTGACCCACTATTGGCAGCGATCAAGGGTCCCAAAGTGTGAGTGTCTGTGCAGGCCAGCTCCAGGAGAGGTATTAAATCACACATAAAATGGTCAATGACATTGGGGCCACAAAATGGTAACTGAACCATGAATAAAAGCTGGATCCCTCCATGAACAAACCCCAGAATCCCAGCCATCCCCATCAGGAAACTACATAGAGGCCTGTTCATGATGGTTGTGTAGTGTAAAGGTTTACAGATAGCCACATACCGATCAAAGGCCATTGCAATTAACAAGATAATCTCAACTGCTCCAAAAAAATGTTCAGCAAAGACCTGAGTCATGCAGCCATTGAAGGATATGGTGTTCTTCTCAGAGAGCAAGTCAAAGATCATTTTGGGAGCTATGGAGGAAGAGTAGAAACCATCCATAATGGACAAACAGGAGAGAAAAAAGTACATGGGAGAGCCCAGGGCTGGGCTGATGAAGATGGTGACTGAGATGAGCAGGTTGCCTGCCAGCGTGATCAAGTAGGTGATTAAAAACACAGGAAATAAGAGTTTCTGCAGTTCTGGATTCTGAGTCAGGCCCAGCAGGATGAATTCTGTTATGTTTCTCATCTTTTCTACCAGTGCAGCTTGGGTTGAGGACATGTAGCTGATCTGAAAAAAAAACATAGTATTTCTGAGTGATCATATTTTTAATTCAAAAAAATATTCCATCATTTTTTTAGTCCTTGTGTCTGAGAAGTACAATGCTGGTGTTGATGGAGGTACAATCCCTTTACTTGTGCCATTTTGCTGAACACCATAAAGAAGAACAGTTGGAGGTTAACTTTCTCCTAATTTGTATTAATAAAATAGTAATAATACCTTAAAAACATCTCAGTAAAAGCCAAGTGTTATTATGAATGATGACTTATGGTCAGCTTTCAAACTTCTTTTCTGTTTTTAAAAGTCCCAGATTGTAAAGCACCCACCCCCCACCACTTTAGGTGAAAAATTTCATCAATAACAATTATTTTTGAAGTTATACTTGTCTAGTGGTATAAATATTTATAGGTCTATGAACACAGAATTATTTTAAAAAGCTGTGTATCAATATGAACTTGCCCAAACAGTGCTATATCTACATCAGCTGTAGTCTGTTATTCCTTTCCATCAAATGAATGCACACGCACATACAGACAGAGACAGAGCTCCAGATGGAGACTTCTTTTTCAAACTACCCAAGAATGATCTTTACAACAGCCTATCAAGCAGCACCCATTCCATAGACCTGCATGTTCTACCTGGCTCACCATGACCTTTTATTTCACTCTGTGTTTCCAGCAATTCATCTTTGGATATAGATATATAAGTGATGTGAAGGTCTCTGAAAAGTTGACAATATTTCTTAATTGAATTTTGTATGCAATAAGTGTTTACCACCCATAGAATCATCCTCTGGATTAGATATGTTTCCCTGCTTGCAATTAAAGATGGAATTAAATGAATCATCACATTGTTCTGATTTCCTGCTGACAACATAGGAACACTAGGGCCATCTAAGATAATACTATTTTTCCTTCAAGAACAAATGCAATCAACTAAGATGAACTTGCAAATTTTGTTGCTAACTTGCAGAAATATTGAAAATATGCAAGAATATATTCTGTTTTTTGGGAATTATTTGTAGATGTATTTTCAAGAGTGAATTAATGTTCTTGTTACAAAGAATCATAAGATATTTTATTATTTTTTCGTTCCTTCCCAGTCCTTGCAAAAATACAATAATTTATTTTCCCTCAAAAATTTAGAGACATAATTCAGTGTTTCAGGTCTCTCAGCTTCAACAGAGTTGAGGGAAAAACATTAGTTTTCAGGCAACTCAGTCACTGAGTTATTTTCCTCTGTCCATGGCTCTTGTGACAGTATGGTTAATCATTCTCAATAGATTAGATTAAAAAATTCTAGTTTTAATTTTGCAATGTGGCAGTTAGTAAAGGGAGAAGAAAGCACCATGTATTACAGAGAGAAATCTACAGATTCAGTCTACTTGGCAAGACATGAATGTTGACTAGAATGTTGTAATATATCTTCAATAATTCTTAACAGTGTTTGGACTGCTAACATCACAGATAGGGATTCTATTGATATTTGGGGTGCAGCTTTTCTGTGGAGACCAATTATGTGTTCATTTCTGTAACACATCTATTTTTTAGAGCTTAGTATGGACCAGCCATCTACTAAAGGCAGGGTATAGAGTGATGACTATGAATGGTGTTATTATTCATGAAAATCTCTAATTAGATATAAAATGTCATTAGAAAATAATTTTATGCCACTGTATCCAAATTCATTTTCAGAGAAAAATACTAACCTACAAGTCACAAAATCTAACTATAAAAACTATTTCAATGGACATATCTTGGTTAAATTAGGATAATCTACTAGAAATGTTGGGAAAAACAGATTTGATTATCACTGACCTGGGTCTGGTTAATTGTGGTTCCTCAGTTTTCGGATTGAGCCCATTCACTGATATCTTTCCCTCTGGGCATTGTGACATTGCCAAAAACAGAATCCTTAAATGTGAAATGAAAGAATTGCTGGGAAAAAGTCCAAATTAAAATCTAACAAGTGAGACATTGAAATGCTTATCTCTTTGGATAGCTCTCCAAATCTTGGACATTTTAAGTTATTTTTGATTTCTATTACCAGTCTGGATTTACTGAGAAAATGAGCTATTTCAGTTAAGACATTCTGTAGCTTCAAGATTTAATTTCTACTCAGTGTCTTGGTTTCTTCTGAAAGTGTAAGTGAATTTTCAAAATATATATTTTTCCCAGATCTCTCAGAATTATATTATATACAAATTAAGAGCCTTGAGAATAATGCACATGTGTTCAAATCAGGAAAAGCTAGTAGATAGACCTATAAAATAAATGAATAAAATCTACTTGTTCCCAAAATGTCCATTAGTAATGTGGAGATAATTCCTTTTATTCCTGTTTCAAACCTTCTTCTCACTCTGTTTCCTTGCCCACTAAGCTTGGGAGCTGTATCTCCCCCCAAAATCTTAGGCTTGTTCATAATTTGCTCTGTTGTTATCATTTTCTCCCAGACTCTCCATTGTAATTCTTTCTTCATTGACTCTAGAAATAAGTTTAAATAGACCATCACACAGGGCAGGATTTGGTAATGCAATGACCTCTTAATTCATCAGAGGATTAATAATTGGTCCTGTTTGAACTTTTGCCAAAGTATCAGCCAAAGTCTTTCACTTACTCTCAGTTGACACCCACAAACATCATTAGAGGTCAGTTTTTGAAACTCACGTGAGTTTGGATTAAAGGTATGTCTCTGAGTGCTGTTTGGGATGAGACTTGGTAGAGTAATTTGGAAACATTCTTTACAAGGCTGTGTTGGTCATTGTGGCATCCGTTTCCCTGGAGCAGGATGTGTGCCTGGTTTTATGTATAGACCAGAATTCAAAGAATGTATTTCTCTCTGAAAGCCTGACTAGTCTAAATGAGATGACTGTTCTGAGAATGGAAATATCAGTCTCCAAGGCTTTATGCCTAACTATTTTTAGATACTGTGATATTTTTAATTACAGACTGAGAGGACTTTGGTGGCAGATTCCCAGATACCAAAGATTAAGTCATTTAAAAGTCATAAATATATTGATTTCCTTCCAGATGAGTGCCATATATATTTGATGATGTATTTGGCAGAATGCAGCTTTCCCATTGAGGTTCCCAGGTGACACAGACAGTTTGTGCTCAGCTGCTAACCTAAGGGTTGGTGGTTCACGGCTGCCCAGCACTTCAGCAGACCCTAGGCCTGGTGACCTGCTGTTGTAAACATTACAACCAAGGAAATCCCGTGGAGTAGTTCTAGTTACGGAGCTGACATGAGTCTGAATTGACTCTATGACAACAAACAACAGCCTATCCTTTACCCTCCAGAGAGAGGTCATGAGGTCTTAGAGTTATGTGCCTTGCTTTCACACAGTGGGCATGAAGAGAATCACAGTCCAACAAGCACTCATGTATAAAGACACTAGAGATGAAGAAATGGAAACAGTTTATATTTCTAAAGTAGCCTCAACTACTATGTTCTCTCCTTCAGTTTCTGAGAGAATTAAGAGCTGGCTGCCACCTTGCAGGGAATCACGTTTCTGTGTTCTCCACCTTTATCTTTAAACCAAACTGACACATTCCTGAAGTCTAGGACTAGAAATGGGAAGTTAACACCTTTATTTCTATAATTGTTGTTGTTATGTGCTGTCGAGTCAGACCTGACTCATAGAGATCCCTCCTTGAGTTTCTGAGGCTGTATCACTACTGAAGTAGATTGCCCAACCTTCCTTCTGAGGAGTGGCTGGTGGGATTGAACCGCCAGCCTTCTGGTTAGCAGTGAAGTGCCTTAGCCACTACGCTACCAGAGCTCCCCATTTCTATAATTAGTAGCCAACAATTTCGCTTCTCTGTTGTCTGCCAACCTCATTCACAGTTTGTTTTTCTCCACTGTTATTTTGAATCCAGTTTGTTCTTTGGTCTAAGTAGATGATGAATAGTGGGGATGGACACTGACTCGTTGCCTTAATTTCCCAGTGCTATTGTAACAAAAATATCACTAGTGAATGGCTTTAAGGAACAAAAATTTATGTTCTGATAGTTCAGGATGCTAGAATTCTGAATTCAGGGCACGGCTTTAGGAGAAGGCTCTGTCCATCTCGTTTTTGGGTAAAAAAATACTTGTTTTAGCTTCTCTAGCCTTACATTTCTTGGTTCTTGCCAAGAATGCTGGCACAAAATACATAATATTTTTCCTTCATAATTTGTGGACACGTTATCACAGGCTTCACAGGATAAACATCTTAAATAGAGAAAACACACAAAATTTTAGTTCTCAGGACTTCCCAGTTCTGGAGTTGTTTCTCCACTAACCACAGCTCTAGTTAGTGATGACTATGTAGCTAATTATTTTCAATATTTCTAATTCACAAATGGTAGCTTCAGTTTGCCAACATGGTAGCTGACAAATTTACTAAACAGACACTAAAAATCCAGTGAAGTCTAAGACTCAGTACACCTGGTGAGAAAAGAATATCACCCACATTTCAGGGAGTGTAAATTCAGTAGCGTTTTGGAAAACTTGAATAGAAGAGGACATAGATAAAGTTTCTATTGATGCCTGAAGTTGAACTTTCAATAGAGACTATTCAATCTTTCATTTATTCATATGTACAGTAAGTAGATAGATGCTGTCATAGATGCTGGGCACATGAAACTCTGTCATTAATAATGTAAATTGATATAATTTGATACAGAAATTCCATTACTAGGAATATATCCTAAGGAGTTGAGAGACAGAGCATGAATAGAAATATGCACACACATGTTCATTGTAGCACATTTCACTATAGAAAAGAGATGGAAACAACCTAAATGCCCATCAACAGATGAATGGATAATCAAACTATGGTACATTCACACAATGGAATACTATGCAACATTAAAGAATAATGAAGAATACACAAGTCATCTCACAACGTGGATGAATTTGGAAGACATTATGCTGAGTGAAATCAGTCAGTCACAGGAGGACAAATATTGTATGAGTCCATTATTGTGAAAAGACAAGGAAAGGTTTACTCAGGGAAG